TGACACCACCAAGTCAAGGGTTAAGATCCCCTTACTGGTCATCTTTAAAAAAAAAAAAAAATTATATAATACAAAAGAAATTAAACACTATAGATAAAGCTAAAGTTCTCTTTAATTACTACCCCAGGTAGTTTCATTCTCCATCCCACCTCGCCAGAGGCAATCACTATCAAAAACGGTATATTTCTAGACCTTTTAAACATAAGTATCCACATGTATAAGCATCTATAGAATAAATATCCACATATATTATTTTCTGTATGACTTTAATTTTTTTTTTTTTTTTGTCCTTTTCGAGACTGGCCGCACTGTGCTCAGCCAGTGAGCACTGTGAGAGCACCGGTCATCCCTATATAGGATCCGAACCCGCGGCAGGAGCGCTGCTGCGCTCCCAGCACTGCACTCTCCTGAGCGCGCCACGGGCTCGGCCCATGACTTCAAATTTTAAATAGATGGCATACTGTATATATTCTGCAACTAGCTTTTTGTACTCAACAGTTTTTTTTGTTTTTTTTTTTTACCTACTTTAAAAACCCAGATTGAGATTTAACTTCATCATGATGGATTCCCAAGAATGTGCCCAGCAATGACCTTGTTCTGTTCTCTATTCCTATACCATATGAGGTCTCATTTGTATAACTGTGCACTCTATTATGTAATTATCTTGGATCAATCATAACGGTTCTTGCTGTAATGTTCTCCTCTTGGCTACAGCATAAGCTCTTTGAGAGTAAAAACATGTTTTATACTTTACTCCCTGAAAAATCTAGCACAAGTTACTATTTGCGTACGGGCGCGACACTGAGGGTTGTGATCCGTTGCCGGACACGAAAAAAGACAAAAAGGAAAAAAAAAACAAAAAAACAAGTTACCATTTGCATAATTGTTGATTGCTTAGCCAACTGAGAGTGAGAGAAACTGAAAGAGCTTTGTGGGAAGCAGAATTCTAAGACAGCCTCCAAAATCCCAGCCCCCTGGTATGTAAAGCCTGTACAACCCTCCCCTTGAGAGTGGNTATATGGGTAATTCCCACATTTGCATCCCCAGTCTTGGAGAGGGTTGGGGAGCGGAGGAAGCGTACTCCACTACAGCAGGGACCTTCTGTCTACCATGCATTGCTGTATCTCCAGGACCTAGAAGAGTACCTGGCACGTGGTTGCTGCTCAAATATGTGGTGAATGGATGAATCAATTCCAGAGACACAGATAAGAGACTCTATACAAAGAAGAAATTTCCAGTAACTTAAAGATGTTATAGATGTTACAGGACAGATTTTGAGATAAGCTTTCTGTCATTGGAATACTTTAACCATACAGCAGATGAGGCTTTACTAAAAATACCACAGAAGAGATTCCTTACTTAGAAGGTCTCTAGAATAGAGTCCAATTTATAAGATTCATCTTATCATTCTCCTACTAAAAAAACTTCCTTATTTTTTAGCAAATTACACATCCCTTTGCCTAGCTTTTAAGGTCCTCCTCACCAATTTCTGGTGTGCTCATATAGTTTTATTTCCTATTGCCTCTAAAAACATACCTTCTAATCTTCTCATTGCCTAAACGTCAAGCCTCCCACTTTAGCCTTTTTTTAAAAAAGAATTACCCATTAATTCATCTCTTAGAAATTAACCATTATTTTTATTTTGGTATAAATATTTTTAGATAAGAGATACACACTTACCTATTGTTAATACAAAATTAAAATTATATAGGGGCTGGCCTGTGGCTCACTC